TTAATTATTCTATGCAATAGCTCTACAAGGCACTTATTGCTATTGTCATGTTTACTCAAATACAAGATGAGATTCCCCTCCATTTAGCATATGGAAAAAACCCACTAAATACATTGTTTATCATTAAACTGCTGCTAATGTGCTCAGTAATGGAAAAGTTATTAAGTTGATTAAAAGCAGCCAACACTGACTACAACTATAAAACACATGGCCAACATTGGGCAAATATGCTGATAGGTGAGTGTAACCAATTTGAATAGAACATATGCTAGTGTCCCCTCACAGCTGACTCTTTTACAAGTCATGGTGAACCACAACATTGCAGTTCAACCAGAACCCCTCTGCTCTCTCAGCCTGGCCCATATAATTAGTGTGGCCTTGCCCTCCATGAAGTGAGGCCATACCAGGTTGCCCTGCACTTCATCTACGCATAATTTTTGGAGCATCCCAGGACTTGTGACAAGAACACCCAGTTCCAAACATTAGTGGGGACTAATTAGCACATGGATCTTTTGGGGGGGGGGGGGGGGGTGGTATCTGGAGTATGCACATATACTGAGCAGTGCCAAGCTGTATAGGTTATTGTGAAGGGTGGGGCTATAATAGTACGTGCCAGGCTGAGAGAGGGCAGGACAGAGGGTATTCAGGGTGAACTGCAAGCAGTGTTGTCCCTCACCATGGCCTGAAATGCTGTTGACTCTGGTGGGGCCCAACCCAGTGAACTCTGTGGTAAATCATGAGCCTTTTGACTAATACCATGCAAAAGTGATGCTCAAAAGCATTTTTATGAAACACCTATGCTAATACTTGCAGCAGTTTAAAAAAAAAAAAGGTAACGTGCATCAATTCTGGATGAACTAAGTCTATAGGTACTATATGCAAATTGCTACAACTGTGTTTAATTTCAAGGTTACTGTTTTCAAATTTGCTTCTCACTTACATGTGCTCAGGGAGAGCAGGGATCGACAGTAAAGGGAGGGGGAAGGGGCTGCCAGGGAAAAAAGTTAGGGAGAAGCAGAGAGCAAAGGGCTAAACCCCCTGGATTTATTTTCCCTACTGTAGCAAAGGAAAGGGAACAAAATTCAAGGCAAACCTCCAATAATCAGATTCTACAACTATAGATTTCTAACAAATATATAAAAAATGTATAGAATCTAATTATTGGGGGGGGGGGCGTCTTAAATTCAGTCCTCTTGAATTCAGGTAAATATGGTATGTCAACAGCTATCAAGGTCCCCCCACCCC